GCTTGCACAATTTTTTTCTGCTTGAATTTTTTGCGGAATTTTAATCTGGATTTTAATCTCTTTCAATGGCGAGCTGGCCTGCATATGAATAACTGATCTAGAAATACTTAACCGTATGAATAGGTTAAAGACAATACATTTCTATAAAAGGTTTGAATAATTAAGAATTTTCATAGCATGACCTGTTGCAATGGCCTCTTTGTACAACTTTAGTTCTGTTTTCCTTTCCGCGAATTCCTCTCCATCACTTTTCTAGTGATCCGCCCCATTTTCTTATGAGGTTGCAGTGTCTGGTCTGCTCATAGTTAATAGTCTGCTTTGCGAACGTAAAAAAACGAAGATTCTTGCAATTATTTGTCTTTCTTCACTCTGCGTAGCTGTAAATATGTCAAGAAACACAAGACAAAACTCATTGCAAAAAGGATAAGTTGGTTCCACCATAACATATCGACGTCGATGCCCTGCAACTCCAGATATTCTGATCCATCAACGCTAGGGTAAAAGAAGAAAAACTCGGTCACGACTTCTTGTTGTATACCAGTGATCTCTATGTATAACTGGGGCGAGAACTTCAGTCATTCGGCCTACGAGAAACGTGAAGCCAAGATGGTGGAATGGACCATTTATAGGCTAAATTTTTATCTAAACAAGTCTAGACACATCACAGCTTGAAAGGACATCACAAAATTAGTAATATTCCAAACTTTCGTTGCGAAATGCTGTAAAATACGGATAATATAGCCTTGCGAAGTTTGCCGTTTTTCAGTCATTTTGCATTACGCGGGGGAAATTGACAGCCGAATACCCTTTGGGGCTGTCAATTTCCCGTTTGTAATAGAAAATGACTGAAAAACGGCAAACTTCGCAAGGCTATATTATTCGCATTTTACAACATTTCGCAACGAAACTTTGGAATATTACTAATTTTGTGATGCTCTTTCATGCTGTGTTGTCTAGACTCGTTTAGATCAAAATTTAGTTTATAATGCAAATGGTCCATTGACGTCCAATAGCTCTTGAAGATCGTAAAACAGTCTTAATACCATTTCCCCAGCTAATTCCAGTTATTTTCTAAACCGTATCGCTAAACAAGTTATCGGCTCATAAAACGATGAGTATTATTCTGTAAATCGAAGTCAAAAGCAATAGGGACGTCCAATAGCTCCATTTTTGGCTTCACTTTTGACTTTTTGAACTTATGTTCTCGCTCCTCGTATATACACGCTAAATATCAGCGCCCTGCGCAAAATATGCAAATGAACGCGCCTTTTACTTACCACGGTGCTGTGCTAAATGACTGAGTCGTGTTACCACTGTTAGGACAATCAAATTTCATGCCATCCAATTCATTAATTTCCAAACACTGAACGAAACGAAGAAAAATTTTAATTCAGTTAAGGATTAAGCTCAGTGCATATTTTAACCGTCATTAATACGGTCAATTTGTTTCGGCCCGTCCTTGGCCGTTTTAACGGGGTTACACTGTACAACTTTTAAGTTTGGTTATTAAGAAGCAGAGCAATGGTGGAAGAGTCAGTTAGGGGTTAATCCCAATCCGACTTGTCAACATTCCAGGCCCGTAGCTGAGGGGGGCCTGGGGGGGGGGCATTGCCCCCTCACTCGGTGGGGCAGTGCCCCCCAGTGACCCCCCCCCCACTCCGAAATTTGGTATGAAAAATTGAGATAAAGGGCCTGGAAACCAATTGCAATCATGGGACAAATTCTGTAAATTTTGTGGTCAATTTTGTGATGTTTCGAAAATTTTTGTTAGGTATCGGAAAAATTTGCTCCGGAAAAATTTTTTTGACCCCTAAAATGGTACACTGACCGAAATTTTTTTTGGGGGGGGGGAGGTCGCCACAATAAATTCCGGGAAAAAAATTTTCTCATCTCAAACCCTCTGTTACATTTTTTCTGCAGTGCCCCCCCAGAAACTGAGAGCCAGCTACGGGCTTGCAACATTCCCTGCGGGAGGAAAGCGGAATACAAAAAAACGCCGCACGACTTTCGGTAGAGCGCCTCTTTTCACAAAAGTGTTTGTTTAGTTATGAGTCCGCACGATCTCAGAGGTGAACGGCGCTTTAAAAAACGTTTAGCAAGAAACCACATACCTCCAATCCATATTTGAATATAGTCAAGTACCTAAGCCAACCGATCCAATCACCAAACGACTTTTGGTTAAGTAGAACACCACCGAATACCTAGGTTAAAGGTAGTAAAGAGAGATGATAGCCATGTTCACATAAGTCGTCTCATGGAGGTGATATGAACACAAAAGTAAATCATCCTACTGAGCTTGGCAGGAAACTGGGTTCGTGAATACGCCTAAAACACCGCAAGTCCCTGGTCAGCATACGTACCAGCATGACTGTATAAAGAACAGCAGCCATTAAATTCGCCACAGCAAAGATACCAAACGTGGCACTGAACAAGAAAGCATAGCTACAGCCAAGCACTGAGACTTGGATCAACGTCAGAGAAAAGGTGAAGAATTTGCCAGCATCAGAATCAAAACCTGAAGAAAAGATCAATACTGAATATGAGTTGTGTCCTTAACAGCGTACAGGGATAGTAAAGGTCTGGGCAAACGACGATGAGAGTTGATGAGAGTTGGCAAGCGAACGCTTTTACAATCTTCATGCCTTGGTAAAATTAACGAGGACAAGAGTTGCATGAGAATTGCGAAAGCTCTGAACCTCTTGAACCAGTTTAAAGTTAATGAGAGTTCCTGGATGTTACTGCGCCCGCAGCAAAAACTTTAGTCAATTACTCAATTTGAATCAGCTCGACGTTGATAATAGTACACGAGAATCAATGAGAGTTGAAGATAATTTAGACTAGGAGGGAGAGGACAAGTTCGCCAGAGGTCCATGTTGTCCCCTCCAGTGAACTATGCCCCCCCCCCCTTTCCTCTCTGACAGGAATCAAACCTGCAACTTTGGTGTAACGCTCTATTTAAACCAACTGAGCTACAGAGGCCAGTTGTTGAACTCTAACCACAAGTTCATGTATATATTTATTCAGTGATGCCAATGTAACTCTCTGTCTTGCAACTCTTATCCTCGTTGGACAGGGTTCAACTTATGCGGTCCAAAAAGATCGACTCAGTTTACATGCTCCCTCACCCGCCATCCAGTACACGATGCATGAAAAAAAGAAAGCAGACAACGCTCTGTACGGCAGAAACTCGCCGAAAATTTTTGCCAAGAAATACACGGACACTCTGTAATAGCCACTGGCCGTCTCGTGCCTAAAAGAAATATATATCTATGTTACAGTAACTTCTTTCTTCCTCTAATGCATTATAAATTACTTTCAACTGCGTAATTGAGAAAAATACGAGCAGTTACGAAAATCCTATCGACCAATTCGAAAACTAGCAACCACAATTTTTCATTATTTTATATTTTATGCATTACCAGGCTAGTAAACATCTCTTCAACAGAGACTGTTACTTAAGGCAAAGTGTAGAAGTTTATGAGTCAGGCTTGTTTACTAAATCTAGCAGGACTTCGGTATTTTTCATATTTAATTTTTCAAAGAGAATACATGGTATCATATTTTTACTTTGAAAAACTGTTAGTCTTGAGTATTCTATAAGGTAGCCTGCGAACAGGCTTTATTCGGGTGGTGGGATGCAGGGTCCATTATAGGCAAAAATATCAACGTGACATGCAATTCATACAAATTGGATATGCTTTAAATACTTACACAAAAATAGGTTTTTCTGTTATAAGTAATTGAATGGAATCCAAATTTGCATACACCATGTTCATGACAATGAAAAAGAAAGCACCAACCCTATGAATATTAGAAGATTGAAAGTCACGCGGAGTTGAACGCCATGGGGTACCAAATAAAATATATAATTTAATAAAACATATATGTGCACCTGTTTTGTATTCCGTTTTCGTCTTTTTCAATTTGGAAGTAAATTGCACCGATCATAATTCCGAGGAAAGCCATGACAAAGAACTGAAAGAATAAGACTTCTTAATATCTATTGCTACACACGTAAAAACGCACAAGTTGTTACAGGTCTGCAAACAAATTGTTACAAATCTGTTCACAATTAGCTGTCGACAAGTTGTGTTCGCAATACTAGAAGTTTCGAACAGGCTGTTAAGTAACTTGTAACAAGCTTGATGGCATTATCAGACTTGCTGCAAGGTTGTTCTAACAAGTTTGATACAGTCATGACATAACAAGAATGTTACAAGGTTGTTTTAACAAGTTTGGTTATTCTAACAAGTTTGATACAAGATATAACAAGAATGTTACAAGGTTGTTCTAACAAGTTTGATACAGTCATGATATAAAAAAGGGTCATGTAGATGGGAGTGTAATTCGCATGTATCTATATAATCCATGCCACATCTTGTAATTGCCTCCAGCAGGAAGTTATGTTTTTTTCAATGTCAGGATAAACAATACCTGCACAATTGTGGTCAGCGGATTTCGAATTAGCGAACGGACAGAGCGTTGCCCAACAATACTCAACTAAAAAAGAAAGCGAAACAAATCTGTTAAAGAAATGCTTTGTTGTCCTGCGACGAAAAGAATACACACGCAAAAATCTCACATCCAACAGGCCGCCAACAAGTTGTGTTCGCACTGCTTGTCCCAAGTTGTCAACAAATTTGGAACAATAAGTTCTTTGAATGTTTGCATGGCGATAAAATATAATTGTTTTTGTTTGTGGAAACACCACGTAAATTTATTACTGCAGTAATAAATTTACGTGGTGTTTCCACAAACAAAAACAATTAAATTTGGAAGAAGTTGTTAACACTTTTTTGTTTGTGAAAAAAAATGCAAACCTACAAATAACTTATTAAGTTGTTAACAAATTGTAACAGGTTGTTCCAACAAGTCCTATACAGTCTTGATATAACAATATTGTCATATTACAAGGTTGATGACAAAAGGTTGTAACAATATTGTTATATCATGACTTTATCAGGAACAACCTTGTAACAAGGCTGATAATATCAACAAGGCTGATAATATCAACAAGGTTGTAACAAGTTGTTAACAGCTTGTTCGTGTGTAGGAACAAAAATTAAATTCTAACCAAGATGAATAATTCACCTGTGTGAACCACCCTGTGGCGAAATGGTCCAGTTGTTCAAACTCGTTATTTATTGCTGCGTCTGCGTTGGGATTCGCTTTCATTTTGTTGTAGATCTCCGTAACCTGCCTCTCGATAGCTTGACCGTGTGTGGACTCTTTGAACTTCTGAGCAAGATCCAGTACAGTGATTGTTCCCTTTTCCAATTCTAGGGAGAGATAAGCGGTCAAATTGTTTCATTCTAAAAACCACAGCCAGCCGACAATTACAGGAAGTAGAAAAAGGAACAAATTGCAAAGAATTATACTGCACTGCAAAAAAATTTTGACTCAAAAACTTGTGAAGGTATAATTACTCAAGTTTATGTCAAGCGAATTTGCTCATTTTTAGTAAAGTAAATTTTTACTAAAAAAATTTAGTAAATTTGACCCGGGCAAGTTGAAAAGTTTGTTTGACGAACCTGGGATACTAGTCCAATGCTCTACCAACTAGTATCCCAAAGGTCGCGGGTTCGATTCCCACTGTGGTCAGGCAAACTTTTCAGCTTGCCCGGTGTGGATGCACACTTGGAGTAACTTCACAAACATCATACTCCGGGATTTTTTGCATTTCTCATTTTGAAAAAAGACGAGCTTTAGAATCGATTCGGAAATTAAATCGAAGGACCTATACAGTCGAAATAAAGTAGTAAATTGTTCCATTATATGTTTACCATTTTTATTCTCCTCATTCCCGTCCGATGTTTCAAGTGTGACCGAGTTGATGACGTCCAGAAAGAAGTCTGGTGGGTTGTTGTGAGGCTCGCATTCGTAACCTGAATTTTGAAGGAATTAAAAATTACCTTAGTATCTCTGGGGTCAAATATTGTACACTTTCCTATAATATTCAAGCTCGATTAGCGCTAATTACCCAAAGTGCTATAATAGTTTATGGAGTTACTTATGACAATTCCAGGGGCAATTGGTGATTTCTATTACCCTCTACAAACTAGAAATATGAAAACGGAGGGACGTGCTATATATAGCGCCAGCTGAGCTAAATTGAGACTTTTGAAGTGCAAGTCACCTGACATTGTTTTGCTTATTAAAAACAGATAAATATATATTTTAGCCTACATGATATCCTCGCAACACTTATCGGGTACTCAATTTTTCTTGAGCAAAGTTTTGAAGTTGAAAAAATCTTTTACATATATAATGGGTAATTACGTTTTTGGCTGATCTAAATTGTGAAGTTACTGGCTAAACGTAATTGTAAAACGGCGTATAACGCCGAATTTTTTACCGTAGCTAACACCCTGAAGTTGCTCTCAGGTAATTCAGATCAAGTCAGGCTAGCTTGACGCAGTAGTCTTACCTATTTCTTTAAAATAACCCAACGCCTCATGCGCAGGTCCGTTGTACATCACGTGACCATCGCCCAAGAGGCAGACATGATCAAAGAGTTTGAATATTGAATATCGTGGTTGGTGAATGGAGAAAATGATAGTATTGCCTTTTCTGCTCAGACTGAAAGTAAACGAAATACACACCTGTTAGCGCATCCGAATAATACACCCTCCCCCCCCCCAAAAAAAACCCTTAGCCTCTTCGCTATGGCCCTGCTGGTATTAATTACGCCAATTTGGTATACAAGCGAATGAACAACTTTAAGATAACATACTCATGTAATAATTGCATGACACTCGAAGCAGTTGATGCGTCCAAACCAGTCGTTGGTTCGTCCAAGAATAAAACATGAGGAGAGGTAATTAATTCCATTCCAATCCCCGTCCGTCTCTTTTCACCACCAGATATCCCTCGGACCACCTCATTTCCCACCTGGAAATTGAACAAAGATAAGAGAGTTCAACTTTTGGTACTATCACCTGCAGCCTACACGAATCAGGGTTCGTATGTATCAGAGAGTCAATTACAAGGACTTTTCAAGGACATTCAAGGTCATGTATCAGCAAATTCAACGACTAAATACTGAAGCGTTAGAAATCAGTAAAATGTGACGTTGATATGATCATGCAAAATCAATTCAACAAAATGTCCATTTTTGAATATCAAGAGCCAACTGGACTCTTACATGAACTTCGACAACTGGACTCTTATATGAACTTCTTCTATACTGGTGAATATAAAAACGATCACGTGACAAAAAATAAACCAATCAGTTAGATTTACACTTTGTTTCGACTAAATCCCCGGTAATTTGGAACTTTACCATCCTCCACCCCCACTCCACCGCCAACGAGAAAATCATCGCTACGTCCCTAATACTGATACCTTGGAGTCAGCGACTTTGGCGAGTCCCAACTCATCGATAAGTTTGTCGACTTTCTGAGCCTTCTCTTCACTGGACATCGAAGAAGGAAGACGTAACGATGCCGAGAAATAAATATTTTCACGAACTGTTAGTAAACCCATCACGACATCGTGCTGTAAATATGAATAAATTGTACTTTATCAGTAATAATTCATGAGGAAAACATGAAAATCTTAAATGTAAAACCGAAAGTGAAAGAGATTGGGGGTGTGTTCCACCCCCTACAGGAGGTGTCCCTCCACCCCCTCTGGTGCCGCTGTAGATTCTTACATTACCTGAACTACATAACCGGTCATCCTCTTGAAGTTCGATGGTTTCTTTGCGCCGTTGACCATGATATCACCCGTCACATGTGACATGTCTTTACGATCAGCCAGCATATCAAGTGTTCTGGGGAGAGAACAGGAGTGAGTTATGAATGAACTGCCACCGTCATTAATACCGTCAGTACTCAATACAAAATAGGGGCAAACATAAACACTTTAACTAACTTAGACCTTAGTATTATAACAAAGAAACACATAAAAGAAAGAAAGAAAGAAACAAACAAACAATCAAACAAACAAACAAACTAACGTTAGTGTCAAGCTAGTTA